GGACACAGGGAAGAGGTGGTGATGGGGAGGAAGTGGGAGGAGAGCTGTTGCATTGTGGGAGATTGCAGTCAACGTCATGAGACAAAGTGTATGTGAACTGCTGTATGGAAGATGAATTTGCTCTGTAAACTCTCACCCAAATCACAATAAAAATTTCAAAAAAAAGGTTGTGAGCGACAAATGGTGTTGCTTGTGACTCCCAAAGTTTGAGATAGTGAAAAAGCTTTTATTTCTGTTTTCACTAGGACACACACTTGCATACAAAACACCATGCTGCCCTCAAATATTATGCCCCTCTGGTGATTTAAGGTATGGTTACTGCATCAGACTCTTCATTACTGACCTTTCCTCACTTAGGATGAATTTTATCCAGCATTACTTGAAAATAAGTTTCTGTTGGGCCATTTCACCCACATCCAATACATCAGCAGTGGATACAACTTGACTTCTCATGCAGGGGTTCCCCTGTCACCAAGCAAACTTATTTCCTTCAGCCCAGTCTTACCAGTCTTTGAAACATACCTTCACATGCCTGAGTTCCAGTCCTGGAGTACACACATAGTGTAAGCTGAACTCCCTCCACATACAATTACCAAAGACAAGATGGAGTAGAAAGAGTATCGTGGACTATGGAACTGGAAAGACCCAGGTAAATCTCAGAGCTCCAGTACATGATGTCCTTGTATATTGTTAACTTCTCTGAGCTTCCTTTCCTCATTCATGAAATAGCATAATGAAAACTTCTTTCCAGGGTCCTCATGATAAATTGTTGTTGTTGTTATGTGCCATTGAGTCAGACCCGACTCATAGCGACCCTCCTTTGATTTCCGAGGTGGTATCACTACGGAAGTAGATTGTCCAACCTTCCTTCCGAGGAGTGGCTGGTGGGTTTGAACCGCCAGTCCTCTGGTTAGCAGTCAAGTGCCTTAGGCACTGCGCTACCAGAACTCCCTGCTAAAGGAAGTAACTCACTGGGGGACTGGAGATGAAAGAACCTTCGCTAAAAGAGACTTGAATTAAATGTCCAACATAATAAGAATAGCTAATCAAACTATTTCTCAGTGCTATACAAGTATTACCTCATTTAAGTATCCTCACAACCACCCTTTAAGGTACTTACTATTAGCCCCATTTTAAAGATGAAGCAGCTGAGGTACAGAGAGATTAGCTGATTTGTCCAAGGTCATGCAACTAAAAGTGGCAGAGCTGGAACTGTAATACCAGCACTCTGGTTCTAAAGTCCATACTCCTAAGTGCTATACTTATGGTATTGCAACTCTTAAGAGATGCTTGACAACGGTAGGTATTATAATATTATTACAAGTAATAATAAAGTTATTTTTTAATTATAAAAAAATAATGATAAATAAAAAAGGTACCTGGATAAGTTCAAGTTCTGTATCTTCCCAAAACTTGCTGAATCTCTCAATGGTCAAGTCCATTTCTCTACCTGAGCCTTGGTTTCCTCATCTATAAAAGGGGGTACAGGTCTAAATGAGCTCTAAAATCCCTTTCCACTCAAAAATCCCACAATTCTATACCTGGAATTAGTACAAAATCATTATATTACATATATAAATATATATGTATTCACCACCCCAGCCCAGCACCAATCATTCTGTAAGGACTATAAGCTGTATTAGAGATAACACTCATGGGTTAAAAAGCATAAGTAGCTGCCTGTCTTACTTTAGGAGCTGTGGTAGCACAGTGGTTAAAGCATTTGGCTGCTAACCAAGAGGTTGGCTGTTCCAACCCACCAGCTGCTCCGCAGTAGAGAGATGAAGCAGTCTGCTTCTGTAAGGATTTACAGCCTTGGAAACCCTATGGGGCAGTTCTACTCTGCCCTAAAGGGACATCAACTCGATGGCAGTAGGTTTGGTTTTTGACTGAAGAATAATTGAATTCTTCAGGCAGCTAAAGGCTCTAACGGGAGTGGCTTCTTAGAATTACTGATTAAAAAGAGGGCTCCATTGCAGCCCATCCCACCCCACCCCATTCCAGAAGTTTTCCCTAATGCTTATATCCTCAAGGAGGAGCCAGGAACTGGAAGGAAAATTCAAATTGTTTTTTTTTATAAGTCATGAGAGAGCTACTGTGACTTGCAAATGTCTATTTTTGATCAGATAATTGGCTCATGGGTGTATCTAAATTTTTTAGGA